ATATATTTATTTATTTATTTATATATAAAATATGTAATATAATATGTATACATATATGCGCGCGCGCGTATGTACACTCGACTGGCAAACAGGCTGCAAGGCCAGCCGGGATAGGCTGATTCATTCAATTCCTCCGCGGACTCGGCGCTACGAGCTACCGACAACTGATTTTCTAGAACTACTTAGTATGCATTGGACAGCGCCGGCCGCGACGATAGGGTATACCCTCTCTCGTCATCTAACGGGGGTTCCGACGCAGCTGCGGCTGTGCTGCAACGAGGTGTATTGGACACTGCTCGGCGACTCTACCTCCGGCCGCTCCATCCTGCGATGCCCGTCAGGCCTGCCGTTTCTCTTCGCATCGCGACCGATTATGTCACGCGTGTAGCGCGCTAGCGGCACGACGCGCCTGTCACGGTGACATCGCTTGACCAGGTAGATCGCGGGTAATCCCTTTAATTGCGCGACGTGGCCACGCAGGCTGAACGGAAGGCGGGTCAGGTTGAACGTGTATCGTATCGTACATCGCTCGGAATAATTAGTGAAACGCGCTGGATTGTTCGGTTGGACGGCTCCGCAGCTCGAACTAAATATAGAAGTTAGCAGCTAAAGCATAAACACGTCCATCATAAACACGCGGATAAAATGCTGTTGACTCGATGGTTTCCAACGGCGCGCGTAATTGGGGTACAACTTGATTCAATGGCGATAGCATTGAAACTAAACAATACGTAACATAGTAGTTTTAACGATATTTGCTATTAAGTCGAGGAAATTTATTTATTCCAAGAAAGATTTTTTATTATTCCAATTACGCTGCTGTTGGAAATTCTATAGATTCAGCAGCTTTCTTTTCCGCGTATCTGTTGAAACTCAATGTACAATATGACTATTGAGAAAAATATTCAATACTTAAGGCCATTTAATACTTTAAGTCTATTAGGCGATACAGAAATATGAAGAAGCGAATTATTAATTAATCGATTCATAATCATTATCTAAAAAAAAAAAGAAAAATAAACTGAGTGATTGTAATTTCGTCGCAGTACGAGTAATATTTTTCCGCGTGTGGGCGCGAAAAAACTGACAGGTGCTCGGGAATGATGAAAATCCGGCGATTTACTTCATACTTCGATAACCCGACGGATACGCGAGAGGTAGCGTTTTTAATTGGGGAAGGTTAAGATTAAGGATCCCTTCTCTCTTTCTCTTTCACGATACTGATCACAGGTTCTGTTCGATGCGCATCGATCTTACATGGCAGATACATATCGCCGGTCACCCCGGCGACGTTGCGCTTATAAGGACTCGGCCGCGCGCGCCGATACTTACGCAAAACTCGGCTGCTACCGAAATAGCAGCTGCGCCGAGTTTCACGTCGGCCGGCCGACCGACGGGACGTTCGTGAGTAATCGCGCCGCTTAATTTTTCTCGACGTCGCCGCGATAGCATCGCGTACGCGGCGATACATTCAGCGACACGCTATTTGTTAACCGTGCGCTGTAAAACGCGGCTAGAGCCTGGGAGATATGTCTCGCCCGCGGCACGTGATCCGGAATAGCGCAGGGAGGAAGGAGAGAGGAAGAGAGGCGGGCGATCGCGCGAGAGCGGAAAAAGGCACGAAGAGAAAGACGGAGTTTTGTATATTGTGACAGATTGGACAAGGCAGAGTTCGACTAATTGACTCGTTCCGCTTCTTTATTTATTTATTTATTTTTTCCTCTTCCTTTCTTCCGCCCCGTCGAGCACGCACGCAGGCCGTTTTAATGCGCGACCGGCCTATTGATGACTCTTCGTTTAATCTCGCTCCGTTCTGCGTCCTCGCATAAAGGGCGCTCGTTCATCACCCGGAGATTATGATAGGAGCCGAGCTGAATGAAGACATTACGCATGCGATAGCTCAAGGATCCGTCCCGACCGCGTATCCGGCCGCTCTACATATAATCCTTTTATACCCTCGTTCGCGGGAAAGACGCGCTCGCAGCGCTGCGGATTTAATCCCATCGCGGGCCGCGCGACGTTCGGATTCGCGCTCGGATCTGAATGCGATTCTTTTTCGCTCGGTTTAATTTAATCCCCGCCGTATCTCTCCGGGCGACACTCGATTACACGAACATTATGACGAAGCGGCGGTTTCCACCTCAGTCGTAAGCGCCTTCGATCGTCCAACGATGTTCCTTGATCGGCGCTCCGACGCGCCTTCAGCTCGTAGCTGAAAGTGCAAGTAGATCTCGACGACCCGATCGTCCTGCGCGCCGCGTCATGTAAAACACTAATGGGAAAACATGAAAGCGTCTCTCTCCGATTTTTATGGTTTCGAGCGATTTTTATGGATGTCGCGGATGATCGAAAAACAAGAGGCAAGTATTATATATATATATTTTTTTTACGCGTCGCTTCTTCTCACGCTTAAAAGTTGAAGTAACGCTTCGAAGCTGACACGAAGTCCATCGAAATCCGTGAGGGCCGCTTCCATACGTTTCCTCGCAAGGCACGTCACGGCCGGCTGCACATCGGATAGACAAAGGATGGGACGAAAAAAGAGAAGGAGGTGTTGCAGAATGGACATCTCCGGACGGGGAGAAAAAAGGAGAGGATATCTCGCGGTCGCGTCTTCGGAGGGACGAGGGATGACGATCGCGCGCAAATACGCTTAGAAAGAGTGAGAGAGAAACGTTGTAGACTACGGCGACGACGAGGAAGGGCGGGCGGGCGAATTATTTGCATTTTAATTTGCATATTAAAACATGCCTCCTCGATCGGAGTCGACCCGGGTCGTCTGCGAAATACGATAGCCCCGCGCTCTGCTCCGTGCCCGTCGCATTAGCGTTGTAAAGCTGAGTTACACACGACCGCAAAAGCAACCCGACGGCCCTGAAACCGTTCACGCATGCCGATCTTGAAATATGCACCCGTGGACCCGAAGATCGCCGGATCTCGATAGCGTCGTCCCTCCCGATCGATCCGCGCGCGTCGTGGCCGACGCGCGCCTGGTATTTGCTCAGCGATAGCGCGCGGTACTAATAATTACGATAATAATAGCGTCTCGGAGAGACACGGAGACGAGTCGCCGCTCCCGCCGCTATCTCGCATTTTAATCCGCCCGTTTAATCTTCTTTCGCATCGCGTTAACCCACATTTCGGTCTCGCGTTGCGCGCCGTCAATTTTCCGCGAAGACTACCACACCGCCAGGTAACAGGACACCATTCGTCTCTCGCTCATGTCGCGTTCTACGTTATTACCGTATACGTTATCCCACTACGAGAATGTTGTCCGTCGCGCTTAGCGAAATTAATCTCGACCGTGTCTTAAAGCGATAGACGTTAATACTGTCATACATATTCATGGAATCTCGAGAAGAAAAGTACCTCGTCCTTCGAAGCAAAACAGGGAGTTCCCCTTCCCCCACCCTCGGCTCCGGTAATGTTCGTAATGACACGCGGCTCTCGTCGCCGCGCCGGCCTTAGCCGTGAACTCCCCTCGGGTCTCTGCGCTAAAAATCGCCGTCGTCGTCGCGTTTTCCCCGGCATTGTCGGAATCCTCGAGACGCCGCGTCTCTTCGCGGATGCACGCGGCGAGAATGATGCATGCAACGGTCATGTGAGCCGAGAGAGAGAGAGAGAGAAAGAGAACGAAAGAGCGCGCCGCACGACGTGACCGTCGAAGGGAGAACACCTCCCCGCTTCCCCGCGGCTCCCCGTTATTATCGTTGTTTCGAGCCGTTAATATTAATGGACGTAAATGCGCGTTGCCGTGCTCGACAGAGAAATAAAGAGGGACAAGGGAGGACGGCGGAGGTGGACGCGCGACGGGGGTTGAGCCGAGGGCAGAGAAACGGCGAGAGAGGGCCGTAAGGGAGGCCGTTGTCTGCCCCCCCCCTCCCTCCCTCCCTCCCTCGTCCCTCTGGGCCCTCATCACTTGGCTATAATTGAATAGACGCAGCTGTGCGTACGTACTGCGTGCTCGTAAAACATTAATGACCAATAGCCGGCGTGAGCGTCGACGATCGTTTTGCATTATTATTCCTTAAAGTCCGATAGGCGGCCGCGGTGTGTTCAGCCGCGAATTTCCTGCGTTCCTCATCTCGTGGATGCGAGTCAACGGTGGAGGGGGGAGGGGAGAGGATTATATGTTATGTAGATATTTGCGATACATACGTTAGTTTCCGAATCGAAATTTGGATTCCACACGTTAACCCCGCACACTCCGTCAAATTTGGGAGATCTTGTTATAAACTGTGTCGTCTTACCTTGATAGTGCAAATGGTAATTAAATGTTTTTTTTTTGTTTTTCACTTTTTTAATTAGCCTTGAAAAAGGATTCATTCCGGAATTATTTAATACCCGGCTATCTCAATATTTCACCTGCATTTAATATTTATTCTTGTGCTCAATAAGCAATGTATTAATTATGTAATTTAACCGGAGATAGAATATGTATGATAAGCAAAAGATAGGTAATTTAGTAAATATTAATGGGAGAATCTGATTAATGGTTACGTAAGATAACAATTTTGTTCCTTCACAATCCGTTTTTAACGGACGTATTATCGAGAACAACAAAATATCCGAGTCAAAATTTAAGCCGGTGTTCATGGTACGTTATTATTTAACAACTAATTATAGCATATATAATACAAAAATTACATAATATAGTTGAACAAATATTTTATTTTTCTTCATAGAGTCATAAGAATAGTAGGTGTCGCACAAGCCGCAATTTTATTTTAGATATCAGTAATCATATTTTTTTTATTTTCCAAAATAAGAAACTAAAAATTCGCGTATACCAACGAGGTGTATCAACGCTATCTCCGAGTACCTCTAGTTAGAATTCAATCAAATTTAAACCAGCCTCGGAGTTTCCACGAGACGTCAATCGTTCACCCGTCGAGAGTCACTTACCTGCGTGATCGCGCTTCAAGGTAAAGGCGATCTCGGCATATAATATACACTAGGATGTCGACAGGGGGGTATATTTTACGGCGACGTACTCTTCGTCGTAGAAACGTTCTGTCTTTATTTCCACTTTGCAACGACTTCATTCAAATATACACAAAACCTACAAATATTACATCGTCATTGCGCGCGCGATTCGAGCCGGGTCGGGCGCCAAAGAGACGTCGGATTAGAGAAAATTACGCCCGTTAGGATCCCTGACGAACGCGAATCCCGCGGTACTCCCGTCCTCCCGTGGGTATTTCCCATTAGACGCATCTCGGTCCCGTCTTTCCCTCGATTTTTGCGCCCTTTCTTCATCATCCTCGCTCGGCCGAGCGAGTAGGCGCGCACCGTCATGCGAAAGAACGAGAGAGAGAGGGAGGCGGGCAGCAGAGCGAGGGAGAGCGAGGGAGAAAGGCCGAGATATCCCGGTTTCCTCGAAGCGTTTCGAGCCGCAATACCTGCTACGTACCGGCGAGGTTTGTAATCACGCGTTTAACAGCCAATCGCGAGGCGTCACGCAATCGTGGGGCAAGAGCGCGCGCGCGCGAAACTTCGGGGTCATCGTACACGAAAAGGCAGGCCAAACGCCGCGAAGCATGACGAGCTAATGGATTAATCGTCACAAAGCATCGCTCCGGTCGATAGCTCGGGCTCGACGGCCGGGTCGCTGCCGTCCGTGCCCGAACGATCCCGGCGATGACCTAGACCTTCGAAGGACGCCCGTAATTTCCTCTTCCCGGAAGCTGCCGACCGGCTAGTTTACATTCTACCGTCGATTTATCCGCGACCGCGACGCCGGATTATTACGCGCTCTCCGCCCGCTGGCGTCTTCCGGACGTGTCCGGAAAGTTTAAGATCGACGTTCAACGACCCGTATCACGTTCTCCCCGTCGCACGACTCCACGTGATCGTATGCTCCACCGTCGTCGTGTTCCTGCGTTACGCGCGGAACACGCTCGAGATGCGCAACGAAGCTGCGAGAAGATCGCGATGACGCGAGGAAATAAAGAATCGCGTCGCGAATCGATTGGAAGGCGCGTTCCGGCGGATTTTAAGATCCGCGGGAGCATTCCGCGCGGATTGAATGTCGTTATTATCCATGACGGAAGCACCTCCGGCGATGGGAAAAGCTCAGTTTCGCCCGGGAGATTAACGAGCCGGATCAGTCGAGAGGCCTCACACGATGAAAGAAAAATGATCAGCCGCGTATTGATCGTAGGATCCGATAGGATGGAAAAAAGTCGGAATCGGGGCCACAGATGGACGAGCACGCGTTCGAACAACGCGTTTTCCACGGTCCGCCGCGGATATTCGCGAGCGCGTTTTTCCGACATCAATGTCACTGAGCGGCCGCGGCCGAGGTAATCGCGGAGGCCGCTACTATTAACACGCCTCTCGCGAGACGACAGATTCTCTAATGACGGAAGCCACGGAGAGACGCGGCCTCTGCGTGCCCCGCTGCATCCGCCGCGGCAGCAACAGTGGCGGCGGCAGCAGCATGCACCGGGGCCCGTAATTACGGGATCATTTTCCTCGGTCAACAGCCTTGTAAATCATCCCGCGCGGTATCCTCTCCCGGTGGTGGACGTCCGCGTCGGCGACTCCTCGACGCCCGGATCCTCCCGCGGCGGCGAAAGAAACCGCCGCCGAGCAATTTCCTCGGCGAGCCGTAAATCCCCATCGACTCCGCTCGCTCGTTCGCTCGCTCGCTCGCGGATGCGATCGATACATCGCTTCCGTCTCCTCGCGTTTCTTCGCCGTGCCGGAAAGCGCTCTCCCCGCCGTAATAATAGGACGACCGAGGGGATCGACGGCCAGTTGGAAGAACAGTTTCCAATTTGAGCGTACGAAAGTAAAATGAGAAAAAACGGTCTCTCTTCCTGCGGGCGATTTTTTGCCGGTCGAAAAAGGAATTCGTCGAGTGCCGGCTCGACCGATGGTTAGAGAGAGAGAAGGACAAGCGTTCGCCGCTCGCACCTGTAGGCGTGTTTATCGATATCCGCGTGGAGGAACTCCCGCGACCTCCCGACCCCTCGCACGTCACGTCATTTGTTCCGGTCGACCCCGGGGCCAGTTGCCGTCGATCGCTCGGCGATTCCCCGGCGCGGAAGGAGGCGCGCGCCTACTTCAGCACACGGTGTTGTAAATGCCTTCCTCGTCGTCGCCGGTGCTCGCCGACACGTCGGACACCTCCGAATGGGACAACGCGAGCTTCACGTAGCCCCGATCCCGCTCCCTGGTGCCGTGATTCTTCTTCCCCTCGGGAGAATCCCGCGACGACGGACTGCCACCGCTGCCCAGCTCGCAGATTTCGGCGTAGATCTCTTCCGGTTTCGGCGGCGGCGTGGGCGGCAGCGGCGTCAGGCTGTCTCTCACTTTCGAGTACGGGGGATCCACGTCCGAGCTGTTGCCGGTCTGAACTTCGAGCACGCTCGTCGAGATGGAGCGCTGCACTTGCTGCCGGGACGACGGCGACGCTTGGCCGGTCAAGTTCGTGTCGGACTCCAGGCTGGCGTAGCGCTCCGGCGATCTCATGCCGATCTCCGGCCGGACCGCGAACGTGAAGGAGGCCGACTTCTTCGCCGGGTTCCTGCTCTTGCCACCCTGCGCTATCCTCGAGATCCTGTCGAGGAAGCTGTGGTTGTTGCCGGCGCTGCGGCTGTTGCTCCGGTCGCGTATCGTCGTGCGTTTGATATGCTCCAAGCCTTCCTTCAGGCTCTGCAGGATCGGCTTCGCCTCCGGCTTCGCTTTGATCTCCTTCAGGTGCAGCTCCTTCAGCTGGCCGTTGTTGGACGCGGGTTTCGGCGGAGCGACTCGCGGCTCGGTAGCTCGCTGGTCTAAGGCTCTTCTACGGTAGCAAAAGCGCGTGATCGCACAATTCCGCCGTCCGGGGACCAGACGAAAACTCGTTTGTGAAAACAGAGAGAGAGAGAGAGATTCCTGGAGGTTTCCGCTCGGCCGATTGTTTCCCGACCGAATATTTACACGGATGTTCTCAATCGCGGTAACACAGATATCGCTTCACAGATGTCGCCGAGTTTTCATCTGGTCCCTATTCCGTTGCAGGAACCGACTCCCTTTTCCCGTGTATCCGCGTTGTTCTACGTCATACGCGACATTTTATAGCTTGAGAACCGGGGATGAGGTTAGTTGAAAGAAAGAGATCCGCAATCGCGTCGAGGGCCGATTTTCACTCTTTTCTTTTCTTGTTAGAAATTTGTCGTCCGGATATAAATAATAATTAGCTCCCTCTGAAATCGCGAGTCTTACCTGCAAGCCGAGAGCAATCGCTGCATCTTCGGTGAGGCGAGCAGTCTCGCCTCGGAAGGGCAGCCCAATCGTGCCCTCTTCACCCGGGGCGCGGTCGGGCCGGTAGCGACGAGCTCCAACAGTTCTGGTACGGTAGAGTTGGGTAAGGGTCTCTCGGGCATCAACGGTACCGCGCAGCCGAGTACAATGGGTCCTCTGGTCGCGTTCTCCAGCTGCATCAGGCCGCTGTAATCTCGCGGCAGCGGTATGGGTAAGGGTCCGGCGACCAAGCGCACCTGAGAATGACGCACGGTTGTCGTTGTCAGGGGAGAATTGCGATTTAGTCCGAGACAAAATGACGTTAAGTCAGAAATATTAAGAATTCCTTAAAACGAAAATAAAGAAATAAATAGCGATATCAAAGTAAAAGGCGTCTTTCTGAAAGAGTCGAGAAGTTCCAAGGAGAATATGACAGCTAAAATTCGCCACTTTGCGGTTGCCGATAACGAATCATCGGCATTGCGAGAGTGTCGGCGAGAGAGAGAGAGATAGGGGCGCTAGGTGACATTAATCTCGAGGTATCGGCGGAACTTTACCCTCAGGGGAAGGTCCCTCCTGGCGAGCTGGTGGACCCTGTAGAGCACCGCGTCGCTGCCGGTGTCGAGGCTGCCGCTCTGACAGGTCGCGTAGAACTCGCCTCTGGCCGAGAGCGGCGCAAAGAGTTCGTGTCCATGAGAATCCAAGCATTGGGCGTACTGATCCCTCTCCGAGGACCTCGAGCACTTGCCCTCCGGGACCCCGCCGATCGCTCCGGACACGCCACCGGTGACTGGTGCGCGACGGGTGTCCTGGAAGACCGCAGTCAGCCGCAGGACTTCGCCCGCGCGCACCGTCGTCTTCGTATAGTGGGCTCGCAAGTTGCCGTTCTCTGCGACAGAAATCGACGAAGAGCCGACGTACATTACGCGCGCCCGAAAAGCGTCACGTCAACGTTATCCGCATCGGTCGATTCGAATTTTCAATCGTCGAGGTTAAACGACGATTCTTTAGCCTGTCCGGGGATTAAAATGTCCAGACGGATTGGAGTTTTTTCGCTCCAACCGCCGAGCGATGTTCGTGGAAACGATTCGCGTTAAGGCGATTAATCGAGGTTTGTCGTCGAGGCATGAACCCGGCGAGAAGAATCGCGTATCTCGCCCGTAATTAATTGGCGCCGGCAAGAAGAGCCCCTCCGGTCGACGAAAGGCGCGGCGCGCGAGTTAATAACGAGCGCGCGGCTAATTAGCTCATTAGCGTTAACTCATTCGTGTATTTCGCGTGAGCGACGCCGACAAATGGCGTTACGCGAGCCACTAAATCGGTAGCGGTGTCGAGCTCGTGGAATAAATCTCGTTGAATACCGATTACCGTTGATTTATCGAAATCAAGCGAGGGGTCCGTACGAAGGCTAGTCTATTCTAAACCGTCGATTACTCAATCGCGCTCGCTACCACCGGTTCATTTCGGAAACCATTCCCACAGATCACTTTGCAGTTTTTCCTGTAATAATGTAAAACAGACTTCGTTTATTCAGACGTACGTAGGAAAGCTCTATTAGTGTTACTGAATTTCCCGTTGCCTGGGAAGAATAGGAACTAGACGGAGAACCTTGGTTTTTGGTTATAACATATTTTAAAGAGGTGGACGAAAAGATTTTCTTGGGAAAATCGTGGACAATCATATTATAGAGGAATTGATGTCAAAATATGTAAAATTGTTGTTTTTTTTTTTTTCCCAGTTATAACTTGTTTTGTCTTCTGTGAAAACCCAAGAATGTGTTTTCCTTAAATGAACATATTAAAATTGTCCGTGGTTGTGAAAAATTTCTGGCATTTTGAAATTACATAATCGCGAAGTTGACCCTAACCACAGAGCGTCAGACCGCTTTAATCGACGAAACTCTTCAAAATCGACCGAGAACTTTTCGCGGGGCAAACGAAACTCCGTTGCATGATTCTGAAATGTCGAAAAAGTGGGACCAACTTCACAGAGGTAGGCGAACGCGCCGACGTTATTGTCGATCTCCTCGTGAACTCCGGCACCGAGTCGCGCTGGAGAGGCCCACTTCCCAGATTCCAGCTGCATTAGCTAATCTTTTCCCACCGTTACACGCGCTTTTTTTTTCGGGATTTTTCCGCTTAACAAGAATGCGGCGTGTCGAGGAAATCTTCTGACGTAATAATATACTATACGGCCGAGGCGACGACCGATGTATACCCGGGGAACGCGTTGATTTCCATATGGGGGACCGACGCAATGCGTCGAACCGCAGTACCGTTGCGGTGTCTCGCGCTGGCGCGTACGATCAAAAGGCGGGGCGGGCCGAGCAGCAATTAACGACAATAAACGCGGCGGATAACGGACGACGCGGATGCGACTCTCTCGGACTTACGGGACCTATCCGTGGAGGTACGGCCGAAGAGGGGGGGGGACTTCTCTTTTCCGCGCGACCATAATCGTTACCGCGTATAATGGCATAATGCAATGCCGCGAGAGAGCTCTGTATGCGTGTGCACGCGTTCGTCGTCATCGTCGTCGTAGTAACGTAAGGACAGCTTTCACCGCGTGCCTATTACGTTACGCGTAAGGCTCGCCTACGTGCGTACGTTGGGACGCAGGAACGCGCGGCGAACGTACCGGCGCATTACGGACACACATTGACATTCGTGTCACGGCCAGTCGCCGCACTCGAGAGAAATAATCCGGAGACCGCGGGATCTGCGCGCGTATGTGTGCGCCTCGCTCGTCGAATCGGTGTGCCGGGACTCTCATTAAATAACAGCCTGTCCGCGGAACGTCGAAGCGGCCGCTTTACATTGTCATTAAGCAAATAGGAAACGCGAGTCGGCTTTCTGTTATTTGCCCATCCGCGAATCCGAAACGCCGCTCTCCGTTAGATTCTATACCCCGGCGAGAAGATTCGCGCAACGCCGGAATTACGTCCGTGTTCTCGCGCGGCCGGCGCTGCTTCGGTCGGAAAATTGCCGAGGAAAATGCCTCCTTTCGGGAGAAGAAAAGCAGGCCGGTAACGGGGCTGGTTACGCAAATCGCGGTTTGTAGCCCGTTGCGGGCCATATTTCCACCGGCAGATCACAGCGGGTGATAACCGCAGCCGCGACAGTTGGCCCGTGGAAAATGCGGACCTGGGTTGGCCGGGATAATAAACTCCCGACGGGTGCCAGATGTGACGCGAGATATGTGGGTAATCTCCGTCCGGTCCACCCGCTGGAGCGCGTTTGCCGGGAAAGAGTTATGTAAAACGCTAAGCCGATTATACCCCCCGAATGATCGCCAAATTAAACGGACGTCACGCGGCCGTCGCCTTAATAAAAATTCGTGATTTGATATTTTCGACTTGCCTGTCACTCGCGTCACCGACTCGAAAGGACAATCCGGTGATCCTGCCGGTCGGATAATGAAATTCCGCGATTTGATCCGACGGAATAAATAACGTCGTCGACGATGAAACTTACCCATTTTGGAGTGCGTCAGCGTGTACGCTCTCAGCGGCTTCGCGAGCAAGAACGCCGGCACTCCGGCGCGCACCAACGCGCCGACTCTTCTGTACACCCTGGCGTTTCCGGTACCGCTGTTGCTGGAGACCACCGAGAACCAGCCTGTAACGTGAGAGGAATACGCGTGAGATTCGATCGGAGGGCGTGAAATAGAAACGTGAATCTGCGCGGCTTCCATATTCTCGCTCGGGGAGGGAAGTACGCGAAGTGAGAAATCCATTGCACGTCCCACTGACATCTTAAATACGCGTTATACAATGTCCCTGCCACTCGCGCGAGGCTGGGGGTCGTCTCGTGTTCCCCGGCGGAAACAGTCCGGCCGCGAGACACGCGACATTTCATTGACGCGGGATTTCGCTTTCACGCGGAGGAGCGCGAGACGACGACACGTGTCGCGTATTCACACATCGTCATACACGCGTCTAGTTTCGTCTACGTTCATAGCGTTCGTTAACGCCTCATTCTCCGCGGAAACGTGACAAACGTTACCGTTGCCGTACGCGCCGTGGAAACTCGTTCCACTCGGAGGCCCCGCGCTTTCGCACAGAGCGGGGAGAGAAAAACTGGCCGGCCGGCAGCGCGACTGGTTTCATAAAGCTATGCTCGCGCGAAGGCGCGCGCGTTAAAACGCTGGCCAACTAATAATAATCCTTTGCGAAATCACAATGTCAATTCGACCCAGTTTGTTAATGCGAGCGCGCGTGAGTACGCGACGGCCACCACGCCAGTTCGTTCGAAATGAACATCGACGTTTATAGCCCGGCTTAACGAGATCCTAAGACCCAGTTTCATAAAGGCAATTTAAGCCGCCGTAGAACCGCCGATCGAGTTATATGCGCACCGCGCCCGGTCGTACGCAATTTTCGTTAAACCCGCGACCGTTACACGCGCGCCTCAGACTACTACCGTCGCGATTACTTCCTCTTGACCGTTACAGGAGCAACTTGAAGTCTTTTAAAGACTATCTCTATACTCCCCCCCACCCCCTCTCTCCTTTCTTCGCGCGTCTCTCTGGTCGCGTGCAGAACTTTACTTGGACGAATCGATATATCATCGGCCCTTTCGCGGCCCGTAATTATTTCCGAAGTGTATTTCAGCAGATCTTCGAATTAAACTGAGAGCGAACGACCGAAAACGCAATTTTTTTTTATTACCTTCCGTATGATATAAATATTGTCAAGTTTTATTTTTTTATTACAACCAACGTATAAAGACGGTATCTAATCATATTGTCGATAAATCGCAGCGTTGATAAAGTCAAAGTAAAAAGAGGATGGAGTGGCCAATGAGAGTCCCCGCCACAGTTGTTCATGCGCAATTATTTCTTTACTCCCGGGTCGAAATTTTGGTTTCACATTAAGTCCAGGTCATTTTGAGTGGAGAAAACGGCAATAACATCCCATTGTAGCAGCAGAAGAGCACAATAATTGCTACTTTAATGCTACAAATGGTAGTTGAAATCTCCTAGTTTAAATTCTAGTTCTATATTGAGTCTTCAAATAAAAACAAAACGGCAATAACTTCCCCTTTGTAACATCAAAGTAATATAAAAGAAAACTTTTGAAGACTAATTAAATTCTATTTAATGTAGAACTACAATTTCGACATGGGATATCTCAAAACAAATAAAAAACGTTCCGGTTATAAGGTGACCATCTTTAGTGGCAGATACAATAAATCGGATGCGGTTGAGGCTCGGAGTGGTCTTCGAGCGAAGATTAGAAATATTTTTCTTCAGGTTTGACCAGTAAAGGATAGAAATATGCAACGAATCACCGGGACTCTCGGCAGGAATTTTAATTTGCGCGAATGTTCGCGAGCGGTAATCTTTTCAGTGAACGGTGGGCTTCCGGGCTTTAATGATTATCCAACTATTTTTTTCCTAGTCTGGGACGTCGGGCAAAATACAAAAATATCATCCTTTGCTTGCGCAGAACGCTGAAATCGTCTGCAAATTGTTTATCTTTGTCGTTGAGCGCGCACGCTTGAACTATGTCGCTTATGGAGATCTTCCGGGCACTTCGATTTCAAACTATTTTTTTTCCTAACGTGCAACGTTCCACGGAAAGTAAAACTACTGTCATTTGTATACGGGAGCCACCGGGGCTCTCGGCAGGAATTTTAATTCGTGTAAATTTTCACGCGTGCGCAAATCTTTTTTTATTTTCCTTGCTCACTCATGTTAATATTGACACATTTCGTACAATTCCATTGCTTTTTTTGCATATTCTTTGTTTCTTTACCGAGATTGGACTTGTAAGGGGGATTTTTGATTTTCGCTCGAGGACCGCTCGGAGCTGCGTCCGCGTAAGATCGGATGTATCCAATAAGGAACTTGACGGAGTTATGAAAAGTTTCAAGTTTCACGTCGAGTCTCGTCGGTTCGTCTTTCACACACGTCGTTCGCGCGTGACACGACGAGCAAACCGCGCGCGGTATTGTTCAATCGAGCCGACTACGCCGCGTCTGAGGCGTCCACGCGAGATCGATCGGGAAGATCGAGACCGCGGGGAACCCAGACGATGCTGAGATCGCGGCGTCACGCGAGCTCAGATTAAATCGGTAATCCGTCGCCGATTTGCGCGGCGCTGCGCGGGAATTTATAGCCGAATATAAACCACGCGTGCTAGAGCTCGGCGGCACGGTATTTACAATACGGCCGTATAAATCGTCGAATCCTCGTTTCGCGGGCGATTTACATCGCGATTTCCACTGTCTCGAATTGATTTACAACGGGCCCGCAAAGCTCGGCGATTCTGCGCTTTCCGTGCGGCCGCGCGCGTCCTCCCCCCGTCAAATGAATATCGCGCGGTTTTATCGTCTATCGGCACGTCGCGACGTTTACGGCCAATCCCGGATTTATCGTTAATCGGCCTTCGCGCGCGTGATTGCCAGATTAAATTGTAATGTCCTTTCGGTCGGAAGACGGTGGTAAACGCGCACCGGCGCTGCGGGCTGTTAACGACGCGCCGTAAATTCGCTCGGATACGCCTAATTAGGTTCCTCTTTCTCTCTCTTTCCCTATTTTTTTTTTTCTTTTCTTTTTCACCTCGCGTCCTTCGCGTTTCTGCGAGACATATTCGGCAGGCATGAAACGCAATTATCCTCCCGAATGGAAAATCGAAATATCGCGAGAACTGTCACGTGCAAACAAAAAGTCTACCCCCGAGACGATATTTTGGTCCTATGTTAAACCTTTAATTCCGCAACATAGTAGGAGCTAAATTTGCAGGTAAGATTGCAAAATAGGTGAACGATTCAATTCTAATAATATAATACCTTCCCTACTTTGACCTTGATGATGTATCTCTCATTTTCGCCATTTTAGCGTCTAAATGGGTTGTCGAAGGTGTCATTAAAATTCACAATCTGCGAAATTAAAGGTTCATTAGAGAAGTTAAAAAGTGTTGATATCGTCAAAACAGGTTTCTATTACAGTCTATAAACGCAACCCGTCCTCGAGAACGTCAAAGTGGCACGAAAATTTCAACTCGGACGAGTTTCGATCGAACGAATTAACAAACGCGAGCGGTTCCGAATGCGGAGAAAATATCCCGCGAGAGCTGCAAACGAGACGAGAGCCCGTCCGATAAAGCGCTTATTAGCGCACGGGATATCTCGCTCCGCCATTACGAGGCTGCGCTATTATAGCGCGGATTACTATAAAATCATACTTCGGCCGAGTTCCAGCCGGCCAATAGCTGTCAGATCGTTTACGCAACCATCGGTGCGGTGCGTGCACTTGCCATTACGCGCGATTTACGATTTACGACTCGCGTGCACGCGGGTTCGCTCGCGCAGTTTTCGCGCGATTCGCCGCGAGGCGCGTAATAAAGATGAGAAAACGCGCGGCGGAAAGGCGGCCCAGCGTTTCGCGTCCCGGCTCGACTTCCGCAAAGCCGCACGATGCAGATCGAACCGGCAACTCTTTTCCTCGCACGACGAGGAAATTGATTACGATCGTATCATTACAACTTTTACCGAGCCGGCTCATTCATCAGCGCTCGGCGTTAGCCTCAACCGAGATCGATCTCGCCCTCGATTTCGCGTTACATGCTCCACCCCGCCCTGTCCCCCCTCCTCGAACGCCTACTGCTACTTGATGTCAGGTTCAGAAACCGGTAATAATTCATCTTTCACTTAAATTGGTTCGCGCACAGAGAGCACGACAGATCGTAATCTTATCGGCACGGCTAATGACGCGTTTACTCTCGCTATCGTGACATTTGCGTTAGGTAACATTCCTTTCCTGTTTCCTTCGCCTCGAATGAACCGAGTCGTTTCTTTCTTCTCTTGTTCCCGCTCGCTCCTACGTCCCGTTGATTCCAATTATTCCGATCATCAGCTATGATCGTAATAATTGCTCGCGGATTTAATGAAGATGTATAGCCAAGAGGCAACGGTCTCTCGTCGCTCGTAAAAAAGGAGAGGAAAAAAGCAAAGATGAGAAAAGAAAGAGAGAGGAGGGAGGAGGCCATCGTGCACGTAACGCGATTATTTATAGCGTGCGATACGAGTCCGCCAGGCTCTCTCGGTAGTCTCTTCATGGTTCGGTGTACGAACCGTTACTCAAACACGTCGCGGTATCAGCTACAAGTCGGCCCGTTGAATCGACGATCGAGGTCCCGCTGGTTGTAATCTCGATAGAACCGCTCGGTAATATCTTAATCCGTTGCGGTGCGAGGTGATTTTGTGAAACGGGTCGACGTTAAAACGTCTTGTTTCTCCATTTGTCGGCGACAGCGAGACGCGAAGGTTCACACGGCGAGGCGGATTCGCGTCAGTCAGGCGACAGAGGCCGATGACAGTTGAGAACAGGAAGAAACCGATCTCGCGTGCGACAAATAAGGCTAAACGCGTGTTAAATAACCCGGGGATTGAGGATCATCGGGCATTGACATTGAAAATATATCGGAAGACGTCGATCAAGTATGCGAGACGAATGAGCTGCGTGTCGATTCGCGGCGGTTAAATATTCATCTAAGCTCTGTCGTAATCACCGGATTCGACTTGCAAGGAGCGCACGTCGCGTTTCAAAAGCACGTGGCCGCGCCGCCGAATCTAGTTTTAATCCGACGTTTTACGTAAGCATGGGCGTGCGT